AGATGAACAGTTTTCAGTCAAGTATTTTTCTATATGCTGGGTATAGTACTACAGTACAATTGTACAAAATTTTACTTGCGTCACTATGCTGAAGATTGTACTAAAATACAAAGACGTAACCGCCAATAAACACTATGCCAACTTTATTTTTGACCATTTTGTTATTTTGTAAACAGCCATGTTTATTTACTAATACTAAGTTCCGCGAATTTTGTAAAAAAAAGTTTGTCACAAAAAACCAAATTCGAAAGAAAACCAAAAAAACATTTGTGAAAAAAAAGAAACAGAAAACAAAATAAAAACGGAACATTGCCGTGAACTAGTTGCCGTTTGGAGGTATCGATTTAGATAGCTTTTAAATTTGCAGTTTGTTCAACTGTAGTTTGAGTTTACCAATTGGAGTATATAGTAATAAAATATAATATATAAATAAAATATAAAATAAAAATATCAGCCATCACGTAAAAATAACAACTAATAAACACTCAAATTAATGTATTACATGTGCAAGTGTATTCACTTTTAAATAAAAGTAAATTTTTAACCGACTTCTCAAAAATGAGGAGGTTCTCAATTAGACTGTATTTATATTTTGTGTGTACGTTACGCGATTACTCCAATATTTGTAAACCGATTTCGAAGATTCTTTTTTTTGTTAGTAAGGGCGTGCCTCTGTGGTCTCATTTAGAAAATATTCCACCTCTAATAGTGGCAAATTAGTGGATGAATCTGGTTTATTGGATTTCATCCACTTTCCTTTAACCGATTTCAGTAAAACTTGCCAAATGATGAATTCCACAAACTTTTGAAGTCGGTTTTTTTTAATAAAAATGTTATAATTATTATAGATGGCGGTCGCATTCTACGTTAACTGGAACGTCTATCTGTATGCCTGTTTGTAAGCTAAAAAATGAAATCACAACATCGTAATCGCACCCTCTAGGCATTTTGAGCCTACGTAAATTCTACGTCGTTCATAACCAACATCACCAATTGTTGATGTAAGCTTGTTGATATGTATTTTGTTCACCAAACTCAGTACTGGGCAGTAGAGTCATTCGAGGTAACTAAGCGCAGTGGGTAAGTGTGTGCAAGAGCTATATCTCCGGAACAGAGGAAGAGGGGTAGGTGGTTTGTTTCGGTAAAACCAAGGCGCCTGAGTGGCTAATTAGTTCCGATTTGGCACTTGGACGCGCGGTCGTTGGTTAATCTTTTTAAGCAAAAATCTGTTTTTGTTATTTACATCCATAGATTTTTGGTCTCTAAAAACAGTGTAAAAGTGTCTCTAAAAAAGTTGAAGGTTATATATATTCGGTGCTTAATATCTTGCGATTATTCATTTGCATTCTGGGGAAAGTGTGCACGGGTAAGTATGCATATGCTTACACTTGCTCCATCTGTAATATTTTCGTTCATTCATTTGTACAATATTTTTAACAGTCTTTTATTTTATATATCAGTGCCTAATCATCACCGCGGAATTATATAAAAAAAATCGAACGAACACCAGTTAATAAAGTCAATAAATATTATGTATGCATAGTAGGTAATTATAACCAATATCAAAAATATAATTCCTAAGAGGAATGTGATTAAATAATCGATGTGATCAAATAATGTTTGTTTGTATCTATGAGTCTAAGAAATTGTTCTAATTAATCATAGGTCCCATCCCTGAAGTGAATAAATCTCAAGGTGTTATTGACTTAATTTTAGTGATAATTTCAACTGAAATGCAAAGACTAATTATGTAACAATAAAGAACATATCAACGTTTTTAACAATACTGTTTATTATTATTATGTTTTTACCATGAGCAAACAGTGCGCTTACACACATCCCCTACATCGCATACCCACACACATACCCCTCCTGCGTCTACTTACTTACCCCATAAACCCACCCGCGCACAGTTACTCGCAATGCGGATCAAGTGAACGCATTCAGATTTTTGATCATTTTTTATTAATAGGAAAAAAGCGTATTTAAAGTTTTTGTTTTAGTTTAAATTTAGCCTAATAAATTATTTTTTTGCATTATGTTCCTAACTCTTATAAATTATGTGAAGTAATACCTAAATTAAAAAGTGCGCACACTTGACCCGAATTACTCTACATAAATTACTTGTAATTGAAATACAAAGGCGTATTTTGTATTTGTAAATTACTACCTAAGAATGTATTCCGTAATTAGAATTTCAAATATCTGACAGCAATGTATTTTGTTATTGAAATTTCAAGTATTTTCGTGGTGTCGCGTTTGTGGTAATGAAGGATTATTGTGATAGAAAAATGTTACTATAGTCTGATGCAGTATTTTGAAGAATGCCTATACCAACTTAATCCGCTTTGTTCCTACTGTAGCAAAAGTCATTATATTATGTTGTAATATTTTATAATTTTTGTTTTGCTATTATTATTTTCTTTACGATAAGATTATTATGTTTTTTATTTTTATAATTATAAATATATATTTTTATACTACTTTAATTTTAAGAACACAAGATAATACACATGAAAGCAATAAATACTTTTGACTTTGACTTCAAAGGTCAAAATACCGTATTTTTTATTGTGTACTTTCAACACACCTCACCACTTACAACGCACCACAGGGAAAAAAAGTACAATGCTTGATGACCTCAGTAGAGCCTCGGAAGGAATCGGACTTAAAATAAACATGGATAAGACGAAAATCATGTGGAATGGCTAAGTTCTGCCATTTTTTTTATAATATCAAGTGACGGGCCTGTCCACAACATAGGAAACTATACTCTCGAAGTTGTTGACGATTTTTTACACCTGCAACAAATTATCCAGAGAAAGAGGTTAATCGTCGAATCCGACTCGGCTGTGCAGCGTTCGAGAAGCTACGCCATATTTTCTTGTCCCAAATACGTGTCTCAAGGCAAAAGTCTTGTGTTGCTACTGATGACCAATGGTCGGAAATATGTTCCACATATATAGATACATGTATAAATATAGTTACGAGGAGCGACATACACTTGTTAAAATCATCAAATATTAACTAAAAATTTTTTTCGACTTACGACTTTCCGGAAATGGCTTTACTGCATCGTAGTACAAAAGTACTGGCCTAGGTAATCGAAATTGGATTTTAAAATAATTGTAATGGTGCATTGTAAAAAAAAATCAGTTAAATAACTGGCCTTTTACCAAAGCAAAGAATAAAAAAGTAACGAGAATGGTCACTCTCCGCCCCTCCGTAGCTTTAGATACCGCACTGCGCCCCACATATTGACGGTCACATTGACGTAACGGCGACAAGGCTGTCAGCGAGCCATTCGCCAAGGACAACACCCTGATGTTTAAACTGTTTAAATTTATTTATACGAACGTTAAACCTTATATTATTATGATGGTCGTGAATTGTGCCATGTCCAGTTATTTATTTTCATCTAAGTAAAATTATGAGAGGTGTTTCTTTCGTTAAAAACACTTTTTATTACATTTCGAATATTCAATATAATTTACGTTTAGGAAATTAAAGTCACAATAATCATTACAAGTACCATTATCCACTCTGAGTGCGTATAAGTGCCTGTGTGTGCCTGTGTGTGCCAGTCGCAGTGTCCTCTGACAGTGTCGGGAAATAGCTTCCAACTTAAAGAGCAATTCACGTGCCCCACGCGCCTCGTCGCCTTAGGGCCTCGTCTAACACAGATATTCACCGGGCACGGATGCTTCAGTGAGTATCTGAATCGGATCGGATGCGAGTCGACGACGCAGTGCCACCACCGTGGGAGGGACCAGGATTCCGCCCAGCGCACACTGGAGGAGTGCCCCGCGTGGGCCTCCGAGTGGAACATCCTGGTTGCCCGTATCGGGCGAGATCTCTCTCCGCCAGGCGTAGTAGCGGCTATATATATAGTCCCATGAGGCAGTGGTCTCCTTCTGTGAAGCGGTGATACTTCAGAAGAAGGTTGCCGAGCGTAATCGGGAGAGGGCTGATCCCGCTCGGCGGCGGCGTACCTTCGCAGCTGCGGGCAATCGGAGCAGGGGCTTCGTTCGCCAGTAAGTTAGGCAGACGCGAGAAGGATGACGTGCCAGTGTGGCCCGCTTCGTCGTGAGGAGAGAGCTCCTTCTAGATACTGGAGGGGTTCCGGTGCGCAAAAGTCGACCCCGGATCCTTCCCACTAGAGCACCCGAGAAGGCCACCGTAGGGTTTTAGCCGGCAGAAGTCCGGCACAACCTCCCGCTGCCCCCGTGGCGCAGAGGTCTCCTAGGAAGATTTCCCCACGCAAAAAAAGGGCCTCGTCGACCGCTACTAAAAAACAGACGTCCCGGCCACACACCACCAGAGCAGACGAACATGTCCATCTCTGTAGCTCACCACAAACCACAGCGAGTCCATACCCCAGTCCGAGTACACCAGAGACGCCAAAAAGAGAGTATCACTAGCGGAGGGCTTGACCCGGACGTCTCCTGTACCCTGGTCTTGCCGGCGAGCCCGTAGTGTCTCCGGAATACCCTATGTCTCGAGTCGGTAGATAAGGACAAACAAACTGGTTCGTGTCCAGTCGGAAGCTCTTTGTGAATGTGTAAGAGTCGTTCAGGGAAGTACTGCCGCATATTTCTGCCGCCAAGCAGTAATAGCAGCACTACTGCGTTTCGGTTTAGAAGAGTGAGAGTGCTAGTGAAATTACAAGCACTTGGAACTTGTCAATGTATGTCTCAGGGTGACGGTCGCAGTGGCAGTACCGCTCAGAATTTTGCTATTAAAGCTCTGAGTGACACTGTTATGGAATTACGTGTCTTGGTATCATAAAAAAAAGAAATTTTTCTTTGTGTTTGAGATCTTTGTATGAATAATAATTAAATCACCATGCACAAAAACTACTTACAATAGTGTGGCGGCCTCATTCCTTGTTGTACCTGTATGACGTCACCACCCCACTGATCATGGATTACTTTCCACTACCCAAATTGTGAAAGACTTTCACCTTGAATGTTTGAATAATTTTCTACTTTTGTCTACAGTTTCGACGTTCGTGGTCGCTCGTTCAACAAGGCTCTCCAGTGGTCCGACCCCAACGCATTCGGCCCTCGTGCATACTTCGCCACAATAGCTCGACCAGCAGCTCTGACCCTCGATACCGTGCAGCTGGATGACGAGGGCTTTTATCGTTGCAGAGTCGACTTTAAGAATTCGCCGACAAGAAACTTTCAGATACGTCTACATGTTATTGGTAAGTATTTATATTTATGCTCTGTTTAAAATGACACTTTTTTTTATATAGCCCCGCACTAGGGAAACCCTGTTTTGTGGGTACCATGGACACATACATAAACAATCACAAACTATGTCCAAACTCACGGGAGAAACAAATGTATTAGTAGCAGTAGACCTCCTTATGAAAGAGTTCGTCCAGAGAAATACTACTTCTTTTACTTATTTATAAAAGAAACATTCTCGTAGATTTACCTATTTCTATCGCCCAAGCAGTAATGTAATCATTACTGCGTTTCGTTACTTTTTTTTAGCGCACACACTCAACATAGCCCCGCACTAGGGAAACCCTGTGCCGCGTATGCCATGGACACACACATAGACAACCACAAATTACATCCAAACTCACGAGAGAAATAAATGTATTTTTTATTAATTGTATGATTTGGAAGGGTAGGAGGAGGGTGCTGGTGAAATTACCGGCACATGGAATTTGTCACCTTATGTCTCAGGGTGACGGACGTAACGGCAGTGTCTCTAAGATCATTGTTTTAAATGCAACTTTTATGGATAGGTGCGTGGCTTACTACCAGGCGTATGACTTGTTCGTCCCGTGACTTGGTATAAATTATACAAATTTTGTCCCGGCCCGGAAACCGAACCCGGGACCATTGCTTGGCAGACCAGCAATGTAACCGTTCAGCTACGAAAGCTGTTACTCGTTTTGTCTTAAAGAGTTATGTGTTCTATATTATTATAGTACACTTCCGAACACATAATTCGGGCCACCAAATAAATGGCTTTGGTTGATTGATTCCGCATAACAGTGAAAGTATTGAATCAATAACTTTGGAAAAAATATATAGCAAAATTGAGGATATATTACTATAGTGTGTGAAAACACGATTCCTAAAAATTTATAAGAAAATAGGACACGATATATTGTACGATATATATTTTTGAAACGGCTTTAATTGCGTTTGTAAAAAAATAATTTTCAAATAAAGCCAGTGATCCTGCTCGACCTAAGCAAAATGAAGCGTATTAGTACGGGAAAAATTTAAATTCGAGCTGAGGTGGATAGACTCTTAAAAGGATAGAAGAATACAATAATATTGCTATCATAAAAGAAAAACTTGTCCCACAGACCTCGTCTCACAATGAAAGGGCTTGGGTTGTAGTTTCCATTCGGTCCCAATGCGATTGGGAACTTCATACCCACCATTAAATTGCTGTGCAGATTTGTGCAGTTTTCTTCACGATGTTTCCTTTTTTGAAATTTGAAATTAAATTTCGCACGTTAATTTCGAAAAACACAGAAGCGCAAGCCCGAATTCGCACCCACCCTCTGTTTAAGAGGCGGTAGGTCAAAAACATTAGGCTACTCGACACGTCTTATATTTTTTTTATTATACTAAACTACTAGCACTAGTTTCAAAATTACGTAATAGGTTTTGATCAATCTATTTGTAATCAATGAATTACTAAGAAACTGAAGATCTGTTGTTGATGAACATATAACATTTTTAATTTCTTACATATACAGAACATCTGAATGTATTTACCACTTTCTCCCGCAACAAACAAACACACACACACACACACACACACACACACACACACACACACACACA